ACAAGTTTGGTAGATCCTTGAGAGGAGTGTGGGTGTATGTGTATGTGGGTTGCACAGAGAAGGTGAAATTGCCTTCCCACCTTGGATGATGGAAACAATTTCAGTGGCAGAAGTATCTAAAGCTACTCTAGATGCCACACCAGACTGATCTGAAAGGATGTAATACAGTTATGTCTCCAGTGATGCAAGTGTTGAACTTGAAACAAGAAAGTCTGAGATGCAACACCTACTTAGTCAGGTCTCACTGGGTAAACCTTAAACAAGACATACTCTTAAAGCTGGGCTATTGTGAGGATGAAGGGGGATGCACTATGGGTCCTGCAGAATCTTATGGGCTTTGCTATTTTATTTTATTATTCTTTGGCTTATTATCCTTTAGCTACAGGCACAAAACAGAATCATGTTCATAGCTTTTTAAACCTGACTTTCATTGATGCTCAAAAAAAATTTTTGGGGGGGGGGAATAACATCCAGAAATAATTATGTTACATTAATTTAAGATATACTTTTTATGACTTGTAAGTCAAATACACCTGCATCTTCACCTCTGCAAGGTAGAAAATTGGTATCTATTTCAGGACAATCATTGAGTTCATGATTTTTATTTATAGAAAAAAATACTGGACCTTTTTGTCAGAATTCCCTTTAATTCTTGTGAAAACCAGGTAAATGAGTGTCCTTCAGACACAGAAGGCTAAAAGTTCCATCATCTCCGAATGACACACTTGTTGGATGACGGAAATTATAGTCAACTACATCTGGAGCAAACTAGGTTGGGATGGCGTATGACAAGCTGTTCAACATTTCAGTATAATTAGGTGAGGCATAAGATTAAATGAACTCTGGCTTCCAATCTAATACAACTGATTAATTGAGTGATTATGTGTCATCAATTGGTGTCAACCGCCACATAGATCTCCAGGATAAGAACTATGCAAAAAGCAAGTCAAATATAGCAACTTTAAAAATAAAATGAAATACTATCTAATCAATACTTAGTTAATTAAGAGCCCCAAAATAACTGAAACTCCATTGCATGAAGGACCTTAATCTTAGTTCTTTGTTAACCCTCAGATAAAGAAGTGGACCAGAACTGTAACTGACCAATCCATTGTTGGAAATGAGCAGATCATGAATTATTTGGAGATCCCTGTATATAAATTACAGTATAAAGCAATTTTCCCAGCCTGGGCATCTTCCAGATATGTGGACTTTGGTACCCAGAATTCTGAATAATTAAGCATGCTTACTTGGAAATTCTGGGAGCTGAAATCCATGTATTTGCAGGGAAAGGCTTATATAAAGGGAAGAGTTATAAATTGGGATGGGAAGTCACTGATGTAACTGGCCATTTTTCCTGGGTAAGGTCAAACTGAACGGATTATATGTTTGAAGTGTATGTGTTGGGGGAGGGAGGGGAGTCTGAATAAGTTAAAGACTCATATTATTAATCCACAAAAATGAAAGGCAGTTTAGAAAGCACAATACAGTGGAACCTCGGGTTACGAATGCTTCTGTTAACGAACTTTTCGGGTTACAACCAGCTCTGGCCGCAAAATTTTGCTTTGGTTTGCGAACTCTGCCTCGGGATACAAACAGGATACGCGGCCATTTTCCCTCCCGTGACACGGTCCGCGGCCATTTTTCCGCCCCGACACGTGGTCCGTGGCCATTTTCCGCCCCTGACACGTGGTCCGCGGCCATTTTTCTGCCCCTGACACGTGGTCCGCGGCCATTTTTCCGCCCGACACGTGGTCTGTGGCCATTTTTCCGCCCCGACACGTGGTCCGCGGCCATATTTCCGCCCCTGACATGTGGTCGTAGGGAGGGGGACTCTCCCTCCAAGCAATAGCCACCTCCCTGTCCTCCATGCCAGAACGGATTAATGGTAATTACATTGAATCTTATGGGGAAATTTCCTTCGGGTTATGTGATGAAATGGCATGGGACTGGAAGGGGGGGTAAAGAATGTGATCTCGTCTTCAGAGCAACGCACTGGAGATAAGAGGCGAAAGCTGACGCACCCCTAACATTCCAGGAGATA